GGTACATTGCGAATAAGTTGATGTTCCAACAGGATGGTGCCCCACTAAATTACGCATTACGTGTTCGACAATATTTAGATCAGACGTTTCCAGATCGATGGATTGGTAGAGGAGGTGCCATTGAATGGCCCCCAAGATCGCCAGATTTATCACCTTTGGATTCCTTTATGTGGGGTCATTTAAAAAGCAAAATCTATGCTACTCGGCCAACATCATTAGAAGACCTGCGACAAAGAATTGTGAATGAGTGCCTTCAAATTACTCCTCAAATATTGCAAAATGTGTGGCAACGTTTTGAGCAAAATCTTTATTATTGCATGGAGAGTCATGGTGGCTATTGTCAACATATACCTACCTAACGGGTCAGTTCATTCTTCATTTTTAAATTACTTTGCTGCCAAATGTATTGATCTAAACTAATGATGATGTATTAGTTTTATTTAAGCTTCAAATCAATAAATCTTCAAAACTACTGAACTGAAGTACATTAATTTTATAGCATTATAAAGGGAATTGAAAGACCTTTAAAATAAGATATCACCCGACCCCCCTTTCCGTTAAAGATTTTGGGGGTGGTGTCACCCCCGCTTAGCAGGCTGCACGTGATAACATGATTTTTTTGCCAAACTTGTGTCCCCCTCGAAAACAACATCGATGGGTCTGAGCGTTTTAAAAAAAAACTGAGCTGCCAGTAAATGCATCTGTTTCGTTTTCGATACGCCACCCTGTATATTGTGAACAAGGTGTATAACACCGCTCTTTGAATTCAATGAGATTGGCTGACTGACCCCAGTCAGTAAATGCCGATAAATCCTTCTACATAGCTTATCTTCATGCATTTGAAGGTAGCTCCAAAAGCTCCCCAGTCGTACGTGCCGCTAGAATACAGCGGACCAAAGACCGAATACGCTGTTCCCCTAGCGTTACTCATAGGAGCCCGTGACGTACAAACGAGTTGAGCGCGATAACTATATGTATGCTAAGTATGCGTATGAGTCTTATGCTATGGCGCTATTGCATTAAGTGGTTCTGAAGAGCTCGGATCTAAATCTATTCGTAGACCTCAACTTCTCAATCAAACAAGCCTGCCGTGTACGGCGCACTACTACTTGAAAGCTAGGAAAAATGTTTTTCATGAAAAGTGTTTTTCAGGGTTCAAAGTTAACAACAAGAGCTTTATAACCAGTTATAATAAAGCAGTGACAAACGGTTTTACTCCTCAGGTCCAAAGAAAGAAACCTGTCGTGTACGGTACGTGCTACTTTAGCTGAACTTCAGGAAAACTTGTTTTTATGAAAAGTTGAAGAGGTGCGTTGATGTGTTTTTCATTGTTCAAAGTAAACAACAAGAGCTATTATAATCAGTTATAAAAAATTACTCCCTGAACTTTAGGAAAACATGTTTTTCATGAAAAGATGAAAAGTTGCGTCGATATGCTTTCCAGGGTTCAATGTACACAACAAGAGCTATTATAACCAGTTATCAAAAAGTAGTGACAAATGGTTTTACGGCCTAGCTCCAAAGAGAGAACGCCGTCATGTACTGCAAGATTATTTAACTTTTCAAGGCATAAAATAAAATTTCCACCACTTCCCTCTTGTGCTGGAATTGAAAATTTTGGGAGCTGTCATCCGAAAGGGAGCTTGAAAAGTTTCCAGAGATAGAAACCACGTAATCCTATTTTGGCAATGTAGAAACTTAAAAACTCTCCCTACAGTGCAAGATATTTATCTTTTCAAGACATAAAATGAAATTTCCACCACTTCCCGCTTGTGCTGGGACTGGAAGCCTGTCGTGAACGATACGCTGCTTTCATGAAAACTTGAAGAGGTGCGTCGATGTGTTTTTCAGAGTTCAATGTAAACATCAAGAGCTATTATAATCAGTCATCAAGAAGTAGTAACAAACGGTTTTATACACCAGCTCCAAAGAAAGAAGGCTGTCGTGTACGGTACGCACTGCTCCCAGAAATCTAGGAAACATTATTTTTCATGGAAAGTTGAAGAGGTGCGTTGATGTGTTTTCCAGAGTTCCAAGTACACAAAAAGATCTATTGTCATCATATATATCAAATCACAAAGTAATGACAAACAGTTTTACACCCCAGCTCTAAAGAAATAAGCCTGTCGTGTATGGTACGCGCTCCTCCCTGAACCTTAGGAAAAGATTTTTTCATGAAAAGATGAAGAGGTGCGTCGATGTGTTTTTCAGGGTTCAAAGTACACAACAAGAGCTGTTATAATCAGTTATCAAAAAGTAGTGTTAAACGGATTTACATTCCAGCTCCAAAGAAAGAGGCCTGCCGTGTACCTACGGTACGCGCTACTCCCTGAACTTTAGGAAAAGATTTTTTCCTGAAAAGTTGAAGAGTTGCGTCGATATGTTTTTCAGGGTTCAAAGTACACAATAAGAGCTATTAGAATCAGTTATCAAAAATTAGTGACAAATAGTTTTACACCCCAGCTCCAAAGAAGAAATGAGCATGTCGCGTACGGAATGCGCTACTCCCTGAACTTTGGGAAAAAATGTTTTTCCTGATAAGTTGAAGAGGTGCGTCGATGTGCTTTCCAGTGCTCAAAGTACACAACAACAGCTATTATAATCAATTATCAAAAAGTAGTGACAAGTGGTTTTACGTCCTTGCTCCAAAGAGGGAACGCCGTTATGTACTACAAGATTATTTATCTTTTCAGGACATAAAATAAAATTTCCGCCACTTCCCGCTTGTGCTGGAATTGGAAGCCTGTCGTGAACGATACGCTGCTTTCATGAAAACTTACTTTGATGTGTTTCTCAGAGCTCAATGTAAACATCAAGGGCTATTATAATCAGTTATCAAAAAGTAGTAACAAACGGTTTTACACACCAGCTCCAAAGAAAGAAGTCTATCGTGTACGGTACGCGCTACTCCCAGAAATCTAGGAAACATTATTTTTCTTGGAAAGTTGAAGAGGTGAGTTGATGAGTTTTCCAGAGTTCCAAGTACACAAGATATATTATAATCAGTTATAAAAAAGTAGTGACAAACAGTTTTACACACCAGCTCCAACGAAAGATTCCTGTCGTGTACAGTACGCGCTACTCCCTGAACTTTAGGAAAAGATGCTTTTCAAGAAAAGATGAGGTGCGTCGATGTGTTTTTCAGGGTTCAAAGTACACAACAAGAGCTGTTAAGTCATTTATTAAAAAGTAGTGTTAAACGGATTTACACCCCAGCTCCAGAGAAAGAAGTCTGTCGTGTACGGGCTGAGTTAGGATTTTAGACTTTCGCAGGGACGTAGAAACTGTAGCTCCTGGACCGCTAATAGAAAATATTTTCTACGGCACGTGTCCTTTCGGAGAAGTGCATTTACCATTCCATTGTCACTTGAGGAATTTTTGTAAGATCAGTCGTCTTGGAGATATTTTGGTTTGAATATTTGAGGTAAAATCCTATGATATTCTTATGAAAAGGTTTAGCTTTCCCTTTTCTGAAAACACCGTGAAGCTTGATATTGGAAACACTCAATCAGTCGCGTATAAGCTTACTATTCATCAAACCTTTTCGATGCATGCCAATGCTTTGCATGATATACTTGTCCTGGTATTACCCATGTTAGATTCTTCAGCTTGTCTAACAACACAACGAGTCATCGCGGAACCAATCAATTTGAGTAAAATTCTTAGTATTTTACTTCTGGAATAAATTATCGGCCTTTTTTTCTTAAAATTACTTGGCATTTCGGATTCAGTGAGATCAACAAAGAAGATAGTACAAATCATAAGCAGCCTCGGACACGAAATATGAGGACGAAGTAGACACAAGGCTATCAGTACTGTTCGTACTACGCCAGGTATTTTCCAAAGAGTCGATGCCCTCATAAATTTAGAAGTAACCACGTAAATTGTATCAAATTATGTTTATTATTGTCGTGTTTAATCCTTATTAGCTTTACTTATTTATTTATAAACGTTTTCGTTATTTTCAAGTTTCTTTATCTATAAACAAAAATTAAAATCGCGGCAAAACCAGTGGCGTGCTACAGGAAGATGATGAATGGTAACCTTCTACGCTACTGATTGAGAGTAAGACACGCATATTATCCAATTAATGTTTTAATGAGGTGCCATAGCTTTCTTCACATGCCAAATAGTGTTTCCAATGTCAAGCTTCTCAGTGTTTTCAGAATATGGGATGCTAAACATTTTCATGAAAATATTTTAGAGCCTTACATATTCAAACCTAAATATCTCCAAAACGAGAGATCTGTCAAAAATCCCTTGTGTTTATTACTTATGATGTGATCACTGAACGTTTTAAAATCTCAACTTAGTATCTTTACCCGCTTCATTTTGTAAATAAAACTTCACCTTCTAAACTAGACATTTTTTTATACTCCAATTACCACGAAGACCTAAGGCTTAAACACTCATTGGGTACTGTGGGACTATAGGGGGATACAGAGGAAAGGGGGAACGCCACACGGATTCTGGCGAGGGAGCACGTGTGCTGGCAACATGCACATATTCTGGCTCTGCCTACGAGATCCGCCGGGTGGTACCTCCGCGTTCGACAGTCAGAGACCGTCCAGCACCTACGGACAATCACAATATCCATAGCCAAGAGAAAAATTTCTCCTGGGACGGGATTCGAACCCGCACAGCGCACGGCGACTGATCAAGAGACCGAAGAGTCTACTACTGCGGCCACTGCTGCTGCCTAAAATATTGGCGTGCCTTTCTGAGACATCCTGGGCCATACTAAAAATGTTGCCGTATATTGCTGGTTACTCTATTGCAGCTTGATAATGCAGTAAAAGATTACATGTTAATGGGCTCCATTACTAGGAATCCTTTTTGATCAGAATGAACAAAGGAATCGAAAAATGGCCACAGTGAGAATGTGATTTTATTAGTTGCTTAGAAGTTAATTATGAAAAAATCAACTGGAAATGTTTAAATAAACAATGTTTGAAACAGTGCGTAAAAAATCCCCAGTATGTTTAAAACTGGCTTGGTCAGTCATATCCACGTCATATCGTAGGTTATCACTAAACGTTATAGAGAAACATGGTCTAACGTGGGTATCAACCGAAAACCAAGACAATGGCTGAATCATTACCCGAATCTTTAGAAGACACTATTATCAGTTACCTGAAAGGTCAAGAAATATGTCCAGAGAGTGACTACGATGAAGCGAAATACAAAGAAAATGCTGAAGCACTCGTCGGTGAAAAAGTCAAACTTATTCTGGAAGAGCTGTTATTGAAAGTAAACAAACGTGTTGTATGCAAGGACCGCTATCAGAATCTCAAAACATGGCACAATCAGTATCCGCTATTTGATTTAGAAGACTTCTTTCCAGATTTTTGCGTAGGTTAGTGTATACCCATAATACACAGGGTGTTCAAGAATAAGTTGAAACTCTTTAAAAATGGCCGTTAGGAAATGGGCTATAGATTGTGGCAAAACAACTGGATCGGCTCGATAAGTCTGGGAATACATTTTAGGAACCAAATCAAATAAAGTTGTTGGACTTTCCCTCAACTATCGGTCGTTAACCTTGGATTCGACTTTGATTTTAACCTTAAAGGTTATATGAAGGTCAACTTTATAATTTGAAATGCAAACCCCTACTTTTAATTCCGGAACAAGCGGAACATTTTATGTTCAGGCATGTTTTTTAATGCCCTTTGAGCTTGCGTGATCCCTCAAGATCAAATTACCACCGATGCTGGATATCTTCCAGAATGCATTTTAGGGGAAAATACTTCAAATAGAAGTTATATAGTAGGATTTTCTCTCTGTCATCACAAAGTGACCTTGGATTAGACCTTGACCTTGAAGTTCATTTAAAGGTCAACTTCAAAATTTTAAACGTAAACCCCTACTTTAGACTCCGACAATAAAACGACCGAAAAAAATTACGTTCAGATATTACCTTGAATAATCCTCATATTTGAGCTTGAATTAGCCCCCGGGCAACTAAGTCAAGGTTTAGGGCCCCCGCCAGTAGTGGTAGTTTGACCTTGACCTCGCTCCAATTGCATTTTAGGCGCTCTATCACGTCCTGGACGAAAAAACGGCGAATTACCAGTAACCCTGTATATAGGTATATTCCATTTTTCATCACGGTTATGACGTTTCCAACTAATTTCATTAAAACTGAAAAATATCTAATTACCTGTTGTCAAACTCATTAATATGACGGATTTGGGATATTCAAAATGAAATATTGCTGTTTCTCAAATACATTAGATTAAACTTTACACACCCCACCCTCACAAATGCTCTCACTGATTTATTTAAAGACTGTATATTTTTTTTCATGTAACGTTACAGTCCTAAACAGGTGAGTAACATCGGTTAGCTTTGTAGTAAGCTTCATCGCACTCAATTGAATTGAATGGTTCATTTTTATTTCCTACTTTACTACTCCGCGAAGGACGGCAAATCTTTGTGGTTTTTTAAAATCGGTCCAGTGGCGGCAGAGAAAAAGGCAAAAAATAAAGAAAAAATCGTTCAAATGTCAGTTGTTTCAGAGGAGCCTGATCATTTTTGAAAAAAAAAGAATTTGGGTAATTTCATATCTCTTGTTTATATTATTTTATTCCAAGTGGAACAGCTTTATTGATCATCATCATTAATCATTGAAATCGTCACGTTTAATCTAATTTTAACAAGTTTCTTTTCAAAACTGCATTAAAGCTAATGCCAGAATTTGTAAAAAACAGATCCAAAGACATAAATAGTGGTTATTCTGCCACTTTATTATCATAACACATCCCACATTTTCGATTAACTAAGCATCGGGTTCAGCCAAAAAATTAACTTTCGGTGGGACCATATTCTCTAAAATGTTTTTTCATTAGATGAAGATACGATGCGAGCTCTATCCTTCCGGGAGTCCTTGCTGGTCAGCTTTCTTGATAATTCAGATGAGACTGGTGCTTCAGTTGTGAGGATTGAGGGCGACTCCCGCGAAGTAGTGCCCTGCGCTGTGGGCAGCCTATGCCTGAACATACAGATGGTCGATGCCAACCAACCTGAAGATAGACCCACTCCAATCAGTAGCGAGATGATGGATCAACAAATCATGAACACTGTCAAAGCTGCTCGACAGGGTGAATATTATTAACTCAGGTTTAGCTTTCATGTACAATTATATTTTTGAAACACTGGCAGACCTGTCGAGAGAGAATCTGGGCAAGGAGAAGGTGAAAGCCTCAAAATGGATGGGTGTCCAAGATATAGATCCTACGCATGGGGATCTCAACACCTGTAGGAGATACAGCTTAGGTTACATAAGAAAAAGACTGCGTTCTTCGGGATGTATTTCATGACTTACTGAGGTATTTGGGAAAACTAAAATTCGGCCAAATCGCTTTTATTTTTTTTCTGACTGTATTTTAACAAATATATAAAAACTAATGTAACTTTTTCATTGACATTTTCTAGGCATTACGTGATGGAGCTTTTAACTTTTATGTACGACCTTTTGTTTTTGAGAAACCATCATGAACTTTATTTCTTATATGGTTCCAAAAAAAAATATCTGATATCATATTTTTCTACGGAGTCAGCGATGCATCACATGTTAAATTCGTTTTCTTAATTATAAAGGAAAATTTGTTTTTCTTATTTTTTTATTTTTTTAGTATGCGAATCAAACAAATGCTTACTGTAAGATGTTGTGATTACTAATAGATGCATATTACATATTACATAATGGTATGATGGGGTAAAATCTTATAAAATGATGCTTAATCCAGTGATATTCAGAATAATGAATACATTTTTAACATTATTCTTATTTTATTCATAATAGCTGTTCAAATCGGTTGTCATTGTTTTCTAAACATAAAAATGACCAACCGTAGAATTCAAAACATAACTTAATATTTCTGGTGTAATGCTTTCATTACACATTCTCGTAACTGCTGCTTAGTTTTAAAAGTATGCTGATAAACTTGGTTTTTAATAAAACTCCAAGCAAAAAAGTCCAGAGGAGTTGAATCGGGAACGCGCTGGCCAGAACACTTCACTGGAGGTTCCAATCCAGCTTCCGGGAAATCGCTGAGAAAGATACTCTCGAACTAGCCTAGAGTTATGTGCAGGAGCATCGTCTATTTGGAACCATCATATACGTATATTAACCTTTGCCAAAGTTAAATTATCCAGGCAGTCTTCTAGATCATGCTGCAACAATTGAAGATACCGTTCTGCAGTTAATGCGTTATGGTAAATAAATATTTTGGTCCTACCACATATTAAACCCAACCTTAAGGTCTGGATACTTTTTTAGCCTGCAGGTATCATTATTAGTGACCTCTTGCCCACTATATTATTTTTGAAGGAAAATTAAAATTTTCTTCACACGTTCATGTGTACCACTCTCGAAAATGCTGGCACCTTTCGCTATCACCTGGTCTAAGTCCTGGAAAATCATGAATTTTTGCAACGAGTACTTAAAAAAAATTAAAAATCAGAAGGTAAACGCATTTTTCCATATAACCTAGAAAATAAATGTAACATGTGATACATCGTTGAATTTGTATAAAGGAATACTATCAGATACAGGGTGTACTTTTCTCGGAACATATAAAAAAATAAAAAATAAAGTTGATGATGGTTTCTCAAAAAGAACTGTTGCTCACAAAATTTAAAAACACCATCACGTAGTGCCTAAAAAGTGCCAATGGAAAAGTCCCATTAGTTTTTTTATATTCCTTAATATAAAGTCAGAAAAAAAGTAAAAATGATTTGGCCAAATTTTAGTTTTCCCAAATATCTCAGTAAGCCATGAAGTTTTTACATGCTCATGAACGGCATCTAAATACGCCCAACTTCCTAATTTAACCTAAGGTGGGTACATTTTATTGGGTAGTGCTCAACGCGTATTGTTCGTATTTTTTTTTTATTTTGGTGAAAAAACACCTAGAAGTTTGACGTCTTGATATAGTAGTGTCGACTTAGGGTCATATCGTCAATCCTTCCTACAATTATAGGACGTCGTTATGGCCTTCTTGATATTAATAGCTTTCTACTGTTGTGTGTCAGCGCTCTAGTTTGACGTTATGTTACAAATATCTATTTGCATCAAATTGTTCATACTTTTGATCTATATCATTTTTTATATCAGCCTCAAATATCCTACAATTCAAAAAGAAAACGTAGCCTCATAATAGGAGAGCGCTGACGCTGTCACGGAACAGTAGACATATAGAAATAGCCCAGCCCTTCTTCTAGGAGAGAAAAGACTTAAAATCAAGGAGACTATAAATACATCCTACAATTGGACCCCGTTATGAAACAAGGAACCAACCGACAAAACGGTGAAACACGAGATATCAACTTTATGTGAACCTAAATTTTTATATCTAGCGATAGGCAACACCGAACCACACATTGGAACTACCGCTGCCATCTATTGAGCAATAGTAGTATTTTGTAAAACCGTGACAAGAAAACATTATATTTTCAAAATCGACCCAACTCACTCCGATTCCATGTGCTAAATTCCGAATGTCGGTTCCATAATGCGTATCAATACATTTAACCACGATACACACGTACTGAAGATAGGATATTGCGCATGTGGGCGGAGCTTCGTGACGTCACCCGGAAAGTAATCGGCTCGTGGTCACCAGCGGCAGGATTGTCGTAACGTTACTGCAGTTCGCGTGTATCGTCGTTAATACTATATAGTGCGATTTGTTGGTGTTTTTTGGTGGTTTTGTGACTTGTTGTATTAGTTATACATACCTTATATACCCTGTGTGGTCGATAAATTGATAAAAATGCGGTGTGCTGTTGTGGGATATAATTCCGACAATCAATCTAAACAGAATCTTTGCAAAGACATGAAGTTCCACAGTTATCCTCAAGACCCAAACTTTAGCAAAAAAATGGCTACATCTCACAAAAAGATAAGACAAAGTCAATGTAAAAAGCGGTAGGGTTTGCTAGAAAATGCTCTAGAGGATCTGAAACGACGTCCAATACCTGTTAAGAAGACGTCTTAATCAAGATGTGATAGAAATCTTTTTCGGAGTAATTAGGGCAAAAGATGGTCTTCATGACCATACAAGTCCTCTAGAGTTTAAGTATAGAATAAGGTCATATATGTTGGGGCGAAACGAAGGCGCATACTCAGAGTACCTATTGCAGCGTAGTCAGAGGATACTCCAGACATTCCACTAACCACTAACCGCATAATTAACGAGAATAAACTGAATGCACCTGAAGTATCAGCTGACTATACCGAGCAAGTTTTAGTGGAAGAAATAGATGAGCTCGAGTATGACGGCCTGGCTGTATTTGCAATAAATTGCATGATGAGAGGTTGAAAAGTTCCTCAAATGAAATTTATTCATGGATAGACCATTTTAGTGAGGGTGGATTATCAAAACCTTCCGCAACTTTCATGAATCAAATTGAGAAGCTGAACAAGGTATTCACTACATTCAATGGGGACGGAATAGTGTAAAAAAGCAAAATTTTATAGGTGAACTTCTGTTAAAGAGCAGCAACATTGACTGCCATGAAAAAGCTAAAAAACTGTTTTGCAGGTCAAGGATGTTCTTTCGGATCAAAGAACTGAATAAAAGTTTGGAAGACCAGACAAATCGTAAAAGGAAATGGAAGAAAATTGTTGCTTAGACTAAGTCATTTCCATTTATTGTTATACCACCACCCTACTGCAAAAGGAAAATAACTCCATTTTTCTACTTTTCGAGTTGCGTACATTTTCACACTTACATGTACTTAGGATGTTCTGTGGAATAAGGATAAATGTAGTGCAGTATTATGACATGAACATGTTAATCCTGCTCCACAGAACATACTAAAGTATAGGTAATGTAGAAAAATGGAGTTACATTGTTTTTACAGTGAAGAGACGATACGCTCTATTGTGGAGCTAGAAGCCGTTTAAGCTATAGCCTCTGAAATAGGAATTGCAGGGTTGAAATCTTTTATTAAAATTCACCATTTTGTTTTGTATAAAATTTTAATGTAGACATTGTCACTCGCACCACTAATACGAATCCAACGACACCTCATATGTGAAAATCTATCAAGCCGTTTGGTCTGTAGCCTATGAAGTAGGAATTACAAGGTTGAAATCTTTCATTAAAATCCACCACTTTGTTTTTTATAAAATTTCAATGTAGCTAGTCACTCGCACCGCTAAGACGAATCCAACGACACCTCATATGTGAAAATCCGTCCAGCCGTTTGGCCTTGCAGCTGTGGATAATCTAAAGGTATGTATGATAGACATTAAAATTGTGACCGGATTTAACTTGAAGATGAAAAACCCCAAAAAGGACACATGCAATAGATGTGACGGGTATACCGTCAAAATCTTCAACCTGCCTGACGGCAGTAGTAAAGATGAGTAAAAAAAAGGAGCACAGTAGACATTTAGATGTAGCGGCCACAGCTCGGACCCAAATGAAAATAGACCTAGACAAGGCAAAACATGAGGAAAATCTGGGAACAATGACATTTGACATGCAGAAAACTCTTCCTTTACCACGACTTTCAACAAATATAATACATATATTATAAAATACAACTGTGGCTTTATAACTGTGGAATTTACGCGGGAAAACTGGGGAGTCTACCTTCTATATATGGATTGAAGGTGAAGCAGGTCGTGGGGCTCAGGAGGTCGGGTCTTGCTTAAGGACATATTTCCTGACAAAATTGCTAAAAAATATTGAACATGTCATTCTTTTGAGAGATTCGTGTGGAGGTTAAAGCCGAAACATAAAAATGGTGCTCCTTATGGAGTGTGTTTTGCAGGAACTGAAACAGTTAAAATCTACGAGTATAAGATTAAGGTTTCTTGTATCGGGCCACAGTTTGTTGCCAAACGACAGCGATTTTGGTTACGTAGAATGCGCGATTAAAAAACAAAATATGTTCTCCTAACGATTATATGGACATCATGAATACCTGTAGAAAAAATCGAGCAATTACTGTCCTTACAATGGAGAAAGGTGGCTTCCTGAGCACAAAAAATTAGAAAAGAAAATTGTCAACAGAAAGAAAACTGCGAATAACGAAAAAATCAACTGGCTCTACAGATCAAAGAAATTAAACTTCTTAAAGAAAA